GACCTTCCAGAACTTTCCACGTCCTTGAAGGACTTCAGGAAGTCTCCCGTGGCAAGTGATTCACGTTTCAGGCGGAGTTGGGGGATCTCGTAGGTAGACAGCTGGCGTGGGAGAGCGTTGGTCTCTGTCAGCCCTGGAACGGGCCCAGCATCTCGGAATGCACGACGGAGGAGCTCCCAGGAGAGGAGCGGGGAGGACGATGGAGAGGGGCCAGGCCAGGGCGGGGGCACGTCCTGACCCTGAGGCTGACGGGGCTGCGGCCCTGAGGTTCCAGTGACACCCTGAAGCCAGATAACCCTCTCCCCGCTTTCTCCTCCAGCTGGAGTTGGTGTGTTAGCTCAGGCCACCTCGGTGAAGGACCGCACACTGAGGGACAGCACAGAACGTGCTGGGGCTCCTCTCTCTCCCCCTCTTTGTGCCCCTTCCCAGCTCACGTGCTCTCTTTCTTTCTCTCAAAGTAAATAAATAAAACAAACTTAAAAAAAAGGTAGACGGGGGCGCCTGGGTGGCGCAGTCGGTTAAGCGTCCGACTTCAGCCAGGTCACGATCTCGCGGTCCGTGAGTTCGAGCCCCGCGTCGGGCTCTGGGCTGATGGCTCGGAGCCTGGAGCCTGTTTCCGATTCTGTGTCTCCCTCTCTCTCTGCCCCTCCCCCGTTCATGCTCTGTCTCTCTCTGTCCCCAAAATAAATAAACGTTGAAAAAAAAAAAAAAAAAAAGGTAGACGGTAACCTGTAGGACATGTGACATGATGAAAGGGGAAGAACAGGCAGGGCTGCAAAGGCCAGGCCATCAGAAGCAGACTGTGCATGTCTGGGCTGACAGCTTTCTGACACCCCTCGGTCAGGTACCCGTCGTGACTCCCGTCAGGGCCCAAATGGGGGTCCATGTGTCAACCCCAGAAACACAGACTAATGTCACGGCTGTCCTGCGGGTCACCGTGGGCTCTGGCTGGGCAGGGAGGGTTCACCCCGGGTCTCTCCAATGAAGCCTGAGCTTATGGTGGCCCCTGGTGCCATCTGTGTCCTGGCCCCTTGCCCAAATGCCGATTCTGGTCCCAGTTACCATGCATTGGTGGAAAGTCCGAGAACAGGACAGGACCCGTGAGTATTTCCTGACCCAGGATCAGGTGTGTGGTCCTTCTAAACCCACCTGCACCTCCGGCGAAATGTGAACCTGCCTCTCGATTTTCACACGCGTTACAGATGGATTACCACAATCTGTGGCTTTGCTCCACGAGCCTTTCTGTTCTGTGTACCTGTTGGCGACCCTTGCTTCTGGATGATTTCCCACACAGGAACAGGGTTCTGTTCAGAAAAATGTTGAGCTAAGCGCCAGACCAGGAACCAGTTCTCGAAGCCAAGTTGTGGTTTCAGATCATGTTTGTAGGGTCACTGACGAGGATATTGTTAGCTTAAGAAAACTCCCTCACCTTTCTCTGTGAGTTCGGGGAAAGGCGGTTGGTGGAAAGGTTCAGTGCCTGCGAGCCTGATAGGAAACATCAGCTCAAAGAGAGACACACACATGGCAAGCCCAGCACCGGAACTTACCGGAAGGTGTCTAGGGCTCCTAGGGAACAGTCACTCGTGTAGGGTCCGAGCAGATGGAAAGTTACGGTTGGCAACAGGAAGAGCATTGGCATTGTTTTTAAAGGTATTTCTTAATGGTTCTCAGCTCGTAACGTTGCTCTGAGCTGGCCGTTTGGGGGGTAGCAGATTGAATCGGGGAAAACCACACACAGCTACATACGTATGCGGTGCAACACAACGGAGTGACCCGAAAGTTGGGGACGCGTACTCTTAAGGCAAACGTTGAAAGGACTTTCAGTCAGTGCGGAGAACTTGGAGGGGCTGAGAGTTTACCTTCCTTGCAAGCTGACAGACTGCCAGGTGCTGGCAGAGGATACGAGATTCCTGGTTCAGAGGCAAAGGGCTCTATTACTCACGGCAGAGCCCACAGCATGGGCCTCAGCATCTTTGTGCTGCCTCCCTCTGCCCCCAAGTCCTCCTGGGGTGGCATGGACAGGCCCGGACGGATGCGGGCACACAGAGTGGGTTGCAGTAGAGGCAGGGAGCTCTGACCGCTTCAGGGACTCCAGTCTTTTCAGGGGCAGGAAGCTTGCCTGCCTTTGTCCTGGAGGGAGGCATCGTATCTACCTTCCGTGGTTGTTTGCTGCACAAACATTGGACAGCTGAGATCAAGAGCAGTTAATGAGTCACATACACTCACCCCCGGGGGGGAAGACGTCACGCCGCACAGGGCCACATGGGTTGCAGCCCCGGGAACAGAAAGAGCCCCGAGGGCTGTGGCAGGAGGCTCTGGAGGAACGAGAGAGGGTGGAGTGCCTTCAGGAGGTCCCGCAGGAGAGGGTGGCTGGCTTGGTTGAGTAATTCTGCGGCTGGCCTGGGAGGGAGACCCACCGCTCAGGGGTGAGCAGAAACCGTGCCTGGCCCCTTGATAAGGAGGGTTGTTTGGCCAGGGGGCCATATCTGTGGGAGCAGAGCAGGGAGGGGAACTTGAGTTTCGCCACTCGAAGCCCTCCAGTTCCACCAGATGCCAAGGCAGCGTGTACCCCTAAACCTTGATTGTAGGTCCCATACCGTATGGATCGTTAATGCCTCGTTCACATGCACAGAAATGAGACACTCGTGGAGAACTGTCTCCCAACAATGTGTAGCCAATGCACCGTTTTTGAGACCAGATTACGGAAGGAGAGAAAAAGCAAAAAACAAAACAAACATCGAGGCGCTTTTCGACAGCAGATTACAGAAGAAGGAGAACAAACATCGAGGCATGTTCCCGCAACATCTTCTTTACAAATGAAATAAAATACAAATATTTCTCTCCATCTTTATTTTGAAAATTCACTGTTAGAGTTTTAAGACGGGGTATGGAGATTTTTCTTTCATAAAGGGCCAGATAGTAAATAGTTTAGGTCTTGTGGGGTTTACAGTCTCCATCACAACTCAAAAGGTCTTCCACTATAACGTGGAAGTAGTCATAAACAGGATTTAAATGGGCATACTGGCTTCTCATAAAGTTTTATTTAGAAAACAGACAATGAGCCCACGGGCCATAGTTTGCCAACTTCTATTACAGTGTATTATTCTTCCTTGATATGTAGTAACCTGTATGGTTCAAATATTTTTAAGTTTTAAGATTGGCCAGATCATGGCTTGTCTCACCGTGGTGCCGGTAAAACGAACCAAAGAACCCACTCAGATACCACAGAGACGTCTTCAAGTAATTTAAATCATTTTTAAAAATTTTCTAAACAAATTTATTTATTTATTTTGAGAGAGACAGAGTCAGCGGGAGTCGGGGAGGGGCAGAGAGGGAATCCCAAACAGGCCCCACATTGCCAGCACAGAGCCTGATGCAGGGCTCAAACCCACAAACTGTGAGATCATGACCCGAGCCAAAACCAAGAGTCAGATGCTTAACTGACTGAGCCACCCAGGCGCCCCTAAATCTTTTTTTTTTTTTTTTTGGTAAGTCTATGTATTTATTTTGAGAGAGAGAGAGGAGGGGAGGGGCAGAGAGAGAGGGAGAGAGAGAGAATCCCAAGCAGACTCCACGCTGTCTGTGCCGAACCCTACTCTGGGCTCGAACCCACGAACTGTGAGATCATGACCCGAGCTGAGATCAAGAGTCGGACTGTTAACTGACCGAGCCACCCAAGTGCCCCTTCAAGTAATTTCAGTCTTAACAGGAGTCTTTCAAAGAATTTCAAGGAGGAATTTTATCACACAGCACATTGAAAACGGTGCTAAAATTCATGTCTGTCTAATTATATCTCTCAAATATAAGTTATCAAGAATCTCCAATGTCATTCCCTCCCAGACTCTATCAGAATTCCTATCAGCATTGGTTCATTTGCTTATTTCTTCTCCCAGTTTTAGCCACGTTTTTGATTATATGGATGATTTTAGTTTTGGGCTTTTTTTTTTTTAATTTTTTTTTTCAACGGATATTTATTTTTGGGACAGAGAGAGACAGAGCATGAACGGGGGAGGGGCAGAGAGAGAGGGAGACACAGAATCGGAAACAGGGTCCAGGCTCTGAGCCATCAGCCCAGAGTCCGACGCGGGGCTCGAACTCACGGACCGCGAGATCGTGACCTGAGCCGAAGTCGGACGCTTAACCGACTGCGCCACCCAGGCGCCCCTGTTTTGGGCTTTAAAGATTCTATTATTTAGCAGGTTTTAAAATATTTTATTTATTTTTGAGAGCGAGAGAGAGAGGACAACAGAGGAGAGGCAGGGAGAGGGAGACACAGAATCCAAAGCAGGCTCCAGGCTCTGAGCCGTCAGCACAGAGCCCGATGTGGGGCTTGAACCCACAGACCCCAAGATCAGACACTTAACCAGCTGAACCCCCCCCCCCAGGCACCCTTTTTCAGCCAATTTATTGACCAGCACAACCAAACTGCAGACGCCTGCATGCTGAGGAGGGGGCTGGGGGATCCCTGCTCTTCTGGATTTGAGGAGATTGGGTCTGTAAATGCTGGAAGTAAAAGTACATTTTCCCCTGATGATAGTGTAAAAATGATACATTATTGGGGTGCCTGGGCGGCTCAGTGAGTTAAGCGTCCCACTCTTGATCTCGGCTCCGGTCATGATCTCATGGTTCGTGGGTTCAAGCCCCGCGTCGGGCTCCGTGCTGACAGCGCAAAGCCCGCTTGGGATTCTGTCTCTCTCTCCCTCGCTCACTCTCTCTCTCTCTCAAAATAAATAAGTAAACTTTAAAATGTGAGATTTTATCTTACTCAGGTTTTAGGGGGCTTGTGACACTTTGAAGAGCATTTAAACTTCTTCATTCCACCTCTCCTCTTACCTCTCCTTGGGACACCTGCTCACTCTCTGTCCCTCTCTGCCTCAAAAATAAATAAAACATTAAAGAAAGTTTTTAATGACACACAGGTGCCAAGCCGGTGCCACGGTGAGTGGATCCTGCCAGCTGAGAAGGGGTCACCGCAACCTCAGCCAGAAACACGACCTTGAAATGCCCCCGGACAACAGGTTTGCAGGTGGCCGACTGTCTTGGCTTCTGTTACATGTCTAAAAAAACCCAAAACAAAGTGGTTTGAAATCTCTGTGCCTTCTTCTGCTCAATTTTGCTGTGAACCCAGCACGGTTCTAAAAATAAAAGCCATTTTTTATTTTTTTGCTGTATTTATTTATTTCTGAGACAGAGCACGAGTAGGGGAAGGGCAGAGAGAGAGGGAGACACAGAATGTGAAGCGGGGCTCCAGGCTCCGAGCCGTCAGCCCAGAGCCCGACGCGGGGCTCGAACCCACGAACCGTGAGATCGTGACCTGAGCTGAAGTCGGGCACTCAACCGACTGAGCCACACAGGCACCCCAAAATCCATTTTTTAAAGCGTATTTTGCCTTTCTCTTTGAGGAGTATTCTTACTGAGTATAGAATTCTGTCTTTACAAATCTTTCAGTGCTTAAAAATTGTCACTCGGTTCCCTCTGGTTTGCACTGGCCCAGCGAGAAGTCACCTGACTTGTCCTGTATGTGGAGAGCTCCAGCGGCCGCAAGGATTATATTAAACACTCATTTTCAACAATCCGAGCTTTGCCTGGGTGCGGTTCTCTTTGTACTTCTCTTGCTTGGAGTTTGTTGAGCTTCTAAGATACGTGGGTTTAGAGTTTTCAACAAGCGTCCCCCCCTAAACTGCTTGCCCATTATTTCTTCAAATACTTTTTCTCTCCTCTCCTGCCGGCACCCCGATTACATGACTGTTAGAACCCTTGAAAATGCCTCTGGGGTCACTGAGGTTCTATTCACTGTTCTCAGCCCCCTTTCTCTCTCCGCAAGAGTCTGAAGAATTTACACTGCGCTGGCTTCAGATAAACTGCCATTTCTTTTCTTTTCTTTTTAGAATTTTTTTTAATGTTTACTTATTTTTGAGAGAGACGGAAAGACACAGAGTGTGAGTAGGGGACAGGCAGAGAGAGAGAGGGAGACACAGAATCCAATGCAGGTTCCAGGCTCTGAGCTGTCAGCACAGAGCCCAACTCGGGGCTCGAACCCATGGACCACAAGATCATCACCCGAGCCGAAGTCGGACACTCAACCGACTGAGCCCCCCAGGCACCCCTGGGTCTATTTTTATTCCCTGTGTTTTCCAATGACCATGGGTCATGTTTTCCACCTCCTTCACATGTCTGGTTTTGTGCTAAACATCATGGATGTAATGTCACGTGTCTGGGTTTTGCTGTCTCCCTTAGTAAAATGATCTGCTTTTAGGACTTGTTTTAAAGTTCCTCGAGGACGGGCACGGAGCGCCTTTGCTCTAGAACTGGATCAACCCTGCTTTTATGGCATAATGTGGCCTGAATGTTTGTGTCCCCATAAGATTAAGGTCCTAACCCCTGATACGATCGTTGTTTGGAGGTGGGGCCTTTGGGAGGTAATTAGGGCCAGCTGAGGTCATGAGGATGATGTCCTCATGGTCTGACACCAGAGCTCGCTCTCTCGCTCTCTCTCTCTCTCTCTCTCAGGCAAGGACACAGCGAGAAGGTGGTGTCTGCGGACCAGGAGGAGACCCCTCCCCAGAACCACACCCCCCTCATGCAAGGAGCCTGATCTTGGACATCCAGCCTCCAGAGCTGTGGGAAATAAAGGTCTGCTGTTCAAGGCACCCCGTCTGTGGCGTTTTGACGTGGTCACCTGAGCCGGCTAAGACACGGCAGGGCCTTCTGTGTCCCACCTGAGTGCCCAACACGACCAACGGGCTTTCTCCCACTGTCAGAGCTCGGATGATTCCCGCCCTGTGGCCGCCCCACTCGCCCTCCTCGGGGCTTGTTCTCTCCCCAGCAGCTGCTCCCACCTGCCCTGTGTCCGCGTGGGCAGCTTCGTTCTTTCAGTAAAACCCCAGGGAGACCCCGCCCACTCCTATTTCCGGAGCGCCCTCCTCTCTGGGACCCCTCCCCTGAAACCCACTCCCTCCGAGGCTTCTAATTCAGCCTCTGCCCCCGCAGCCTGGCGAGTCTGCCTGCTGCCTGTGGCCCAACCGGCACCTGCTGGCCGAGAACGAGAACGAGGGCGATGGAGGGGCGCCCGCACCGCTTCCTTCCCTCGGCCTGCCACTGCTCTGTACACGCGCAGCACCCGTGCCCGCTGTTTCCCATGTTTCGAGTTACCTGTGCCGGGAGGGATGGTCTGGGACCAGTTTCTCCGCGAGAGTCGGAGGCAGCGATCCCCACGAGGGACGTCTGTGGAGGTTCCCGTCTGTCGGTGTCTGTTTTACTGTGTGAACTGAAAGACGGTATCACCGCTGCAGTTTGGGGGACGGAAGCGACGGGGCTGGAGAATAACCCCAAAGGAAAGGGTCCGTGCCGGTGAGGGCCGGGATCCGTGCAGATCCCGCACCGACCGTGGCCGCAGTCGGAGGCGGACGTCCGGTGGGTTCAGCGGGTGCAGTGGGCCTGGAGACAGTTCGCAGATGGGCGCACCGCTGGGCGCCAGGGCGACAGAGCGGATGCACTGGGGACCGTGGGGAGCAGGCTGGGAAGGAGGGGCGGAGGAAGGGACGGGCACGATGGCTCACAGAGGGAACGAGAGGGATCGAGGGGTCCCTGGGGATTTGGAGAACAGAGAAAACGTTAGACGCTTAGGACACCTGAACAGAAAGGACAGTGACGTGTCTTCTTTCTGAGTGGAGCGTGGGTCCCCAGTGTGCTTGTGGGAGACCCGTAGCAGGCACGGAGTAGGGAGGGGTGTTCCCAGAGACGAAGCCACAAGCGACTATGAGTTTGGATGAGCTGCCCACGGGGACGTGGGATGCGGAAGCCAGCAGGGATGTTGCTAAGTCTTGGCGTGAAAGGAACACAGTGAACTCAGTGCTGAAATCCTGGACAGAAGTGACCGGCTGAAGGTTGGCAGATGACGTAGGGCAGGGGCATCGGAAGTGGTGTGGGTCACAGCCTGCTTCCCCAAGGAGCATGCTTTTCCCACGCACGTGGAGACACCTGGGCACACGGCCAGCACCCAGCCCCCCCGGCCCCCACGAGCTCAGGTGACGGGCACGCGGCCCCCAGGACTGTGTGGATGCTGAGTGTGCACATCCTGGGGCCGGACTGGGTGGGGCAGGAGGCCTGGAGCACAGAGGACGCCGGGTTTGGGATTCTGTGCCTCTCTGGGTCCCGGGAGGCTCAGCCTGCGACTCGCAAATGGGTGACCCCCTACAGGACCTCAGGTGGGAGTGGGGAGGGGGTCACGACCTCCTCTCTGCCCTCCATCTCCCCTCTTTGTCCCTTGGGGTGTTTCCCCCTCCCTCCCCTCCCCTCTCCCTCCGCCCCCTCCTCCCCTCCCCTCTCCCTCCGTCCCAGGCACGGACTCTCTTCCCCGGAGCATTTCACCCCTGCGCGTGGGCAGACTTCTGTCTTGAGGAGACAAAGCGCTCCCATGGAAGAGAAGCCGAGGCGTTTCGGGGGTTGCTGAAATGAACCTGTCATTTTACTCACCGGCCCCGTGTCCAGGGGGAGCAGCCCCTCCCCGGGACGGACACGAGGAGACACAGGAGACAAGGGGCTGGGGCTGGCAGAGGCGTCCCCTCTGCCTTGGAGGTGGGGTCTTCTCCATGTCTCCGGCTGGCTTGGTCATTTTCCCCAGTAACCTTGGGCCTAATATTTAAAAAGAAAAAAAAAAAATCCTGTAACCGCCTCCTTTATCAGGAGACATACATGGCTTATCCCTTCCTGGGTGTGATCCCATGAGCGCCCAGTGCCAGATGTGCACGTGGCCAGTTTTCCACGTCGGCATCCTGGTGTGACCTGGCTCCCGGCCCAGGGCAGGGGGAGGCCTGGCCAGTGTGCCCACAGCCCCTGGCGGAAACCTCGTATTGTCTCTGGAGCAGCGGGCTACCTCAGCCCCTTTTCCTAACAAAGGAGCCACAGGGCTGGTGCCCCAGGGGACACAGGAAGGTTATCTGCACTTGGTGAGCAAACAGAGAGCAGATTATAAAACAGCCCGTGGCAGCTGGCACTGTGCATTCTGCCCTGGGGTGCAACATGGACATGGGACCTCGAGGCGTCCGGCTCCTGGCGGTTCTCCTGGTCCTGGGGCTGTGGGCCCCGGCAGGGGCCCAGAAACCTTGTAAGTGAACGGCTGTAGGTTGTCCTGTGTCTCTCGGTGTCCTTGACCGGGCGACGGAGCACTGGGGCCAGCGAGCCCCGAGAACCTTCTCGCGCACCCCCAAAATGCAACGGAGGTGTGCAAACTGCGTGCTTTCTGCGGTGCTTCCCTTGGCCTCGCTGGGTCTCTGTGCTCTTGGTTGTTTCCCTCAAAGCGCCGGGTGGGGTGTGATGGGCTCACTTGAGAGCAGGAGCAGCTAAAAAGGCACCCCGAGATTCGTGATGTGGGCTATGCGATTCGTGCACCCTTCCCGCCATCAGGAAGGACACCCTGATGACGGGGGGCTGTGTGACACCTCCAGGAAAGCCATCCTTCGCGGACAAGGTCAGGGTGAGCACAGGAGCCGGTGGGCCAGCTACGGAGAAGGGCTGGGAAGGGGCCCCCAGGGTGTCTGGAGCCCACGTTGGTCACCTTTTACTCTGACTTTTCCTAGGTCCTCTGTCGGCCCTGTTTCCAGAAGATTTCTCCTTTTTTTTTTTTTAAACTAATAAAATAATTTCTGCAGAGCCCTGTGTCAGGAGGGCATCGCATGGTTCAAATTCAGGCAGGATGGGACTTTCCTGTTTCCCTGGGCGGCCGCAGGACCCACGTGGCAGGCGGGGAGCACGTGTGGTTCAGGCTGACCGAGGCTCTCTCCACAGCCCCCTGCCGGTGCTCACGGGTAGCCCCCCACAAGAGGGAGAACTGTGGATTCCCGGGCATCACCAGCGACCAGTGCTTCTCCTCTGGCTGCTGCTTCGACTCCAGCGTCGTGGGGGTCCCCTGGTGTTTCCACCCCCTCCCGAAGCAAGGTAACCCCCAGGGGGAGCTGGCCCTCTTCCGGCGCCCTGACCGGCTTCCCAGTGTGTATGTGTGGACCCCCGCCCGGGGCCAGCCAGGAGGGAGGAGAAAGGGGGCCCTGGCCCGCTGTCCACACCCGGAGCCCCCAGGGTCAGCCGCTTGCCCTTATGCAGACTTTTGTGAGAACCCGTCAGTCTCACTGTGTTAGAAGGAAAAACAGCTCTCAGGGCCCTCCTAGCTGTGCAAGTACGACGTCGGAAGGAGCTTCTAAGGGCCATGAAGGCATTTCATAGGACGGTTCCACATGACCGCTCATAGACCTTAAATGGTAAGAGGCTCAGTTAAAACTTCCAGGATTTTCCTTTGAGAAGGAGTCTGACGTCAGTGCACATCGGCAAGATACCAGGTCTTTCATTCCAAGGCGTGCACAAGAGAAAGTTGCGTGTGCATAGCACTCCGTGTGGGTGGAACTCGTGCCCGCGGCCGCCCGTCCACACCGCCAGCAGCTGTGGGTGACGGGCTCCCTGGGCGTCGAAGGGGACAAGACAGACGGGTGGTTGTTAGCCGGGGCCCTCCCGCTGGCGGAAGCGGGGCTGGCTTTCAGCACCTCGGCCAGATGCTCCACATGCTCACGTTCACGGTACGGTGGGTCGGCCCGTCTTACAGATGGGAATATCGGGTCCAGAGAGGCGAAATGGTTAACCCCGGGCCCCAGAACTTCCGACGTGCGGCCTCTGCGTGGATCGAAGGCGGCCGGCCTGGGGGTTGTAGTCCGGCGGCCCCCGCGCACGCCGAGGCTGAGGTCCAGCGCATCCCCCGGGGAGGACAGGAAGAGAAGTTGCCGTTAGCTAGCTGCCCTAACCGGGTCTCCGTGTCGCTCCTTTCCCGGTTCCGGGGGCCACGTGACCAGCGTCGGAGGAATGCGTCATGGAAGTCTCGGCCCGTAGGAACTGCGGGTACCCAGGCATCAGCCCCGAGGAGTGCGCCTCCCGCAAGTGCTGCTTTTCCAACAACATCTTCGAAGTGCCCTGGTGCTTCTTCCCGATGTCCGTGGACGGTAATGTCCGTGCAGGTCGGGGCGGGAACCGGGGCCGTGGCGGGGGGCTGCCGGGCCCCGAGCCGACTCTGGCCTCACGGCCATCGACGCCAGGCCCCTGGGCCCCGTGCGGGCCAGGTCAGCACCAAGCAGCTCTGAGGGCGAGTCCAGAATGCTGTCCACGCTGACAGCTGCTTTTCCGGAAGCCGAAAGCCCCCAGGCTCCCACTGTGGCTCGTGTGACAGCCGCAGGGAGCAGGTCACTTCAGTCACACCCCCGGGTCCCGGTGCGGCTGGTGGCACCGCCCAACTCACTGTCCTCAGGCCACCGGTTTGTGGTGCTACTTACTAAGGGTTGTGTGCGGTGCTGAGGGCCGCGTGGGGGGATGTAGGCCTCCCCCAACCCCCGGGGCCTTACTGCTCCCTTCACGTGGGGGCTGCAGGGACATGTTCTGCCCACGGCTGCCTGCCCAGCGCCACCCCAGGAGCGTCTGGCTGCCCCCTCCCCATTAGCTACAGCGTGTCTCCTGACACTGCGTTTGGCCACACCAAGGAAAGCTCAGACGCTTTCCCAAAATGGGCACCGTGGCCTTGACCGTGCTGGATGGTCTTTCCCTGTTTTAGAACCTCAGGGTCCTCCGGAGAGTGCAGCCTTCGCTCAGACTCGTCCGAGCGATGCCTTCGCTAAGGGTCGTTCTGGACAACTGCCATTCCTGGGGTGGGGGTGGGGGGGAGAATGGACCCCCTAGAAGTGTCCCCCTCCATCCCCCAGAACGGGGGTCCTTCAGCAGGAAGTCTATTGACAGGAGCCCCCGGGCTCCCCCGGCCCCCTAACGCTGCCCATTTCAAACCTCCGCCATTTCAAATTTCCAGACTGTCATTATTAAGAGGAGTCCCTTCCGAGGACCCAGCAGCCTCCCTGGATGTCTGGAAATGAGGAATACTCACCACCACATCTCAGGTTTCCTGAGTTCCTGGCCTTCCTGAATCGGCTTTCTGTCCTTTCCACTGGTTCCACATACAACTCCTTCAAATAAAGAAAGTCCTTAAAACCTGCTAAATTTCCTCTTGGCTTCATTGAGGCAAAAGTGGAGAGAGGGGGAGAGGGAGTGTGTGTGTGTGCAGGTGAGAGGGTGCACAGCTCGGATTCTCTCATTTGCTGCTGGAACAAGAGTCCACCCGGCACACGCAGGCTGCGCCAGCCGCCATCAAGGATTGTGTGCACGGGAATTTCAGAAACCACAACCACTCCTGTTCCCGATCACTTGTGTAAAAACTCAAGTGCCTTTAGCCCTGAAAACCTCTGGGGGGGGGGCCGGGGGAGCGCCTCAGTCGGTTAAGCCAACTGAAATTTTGGCTCAGGTCACGATCTCGCAATTCGTGGGTTCGAGCCCCGCGTCGGGCTCCGTGCTGACAGCTCAGAGCCTGGAGCCTGCTTCGGATTCTGTGTCTCCCTCAGCCCCCTGCCCCGTCTCAAAAATAAGTAAATATTGTTTAAAAACTTAAGTTTAAAAAATAAATACATAAAATTTAAAAAAAAGTCTTGGAGTAACACATAATTTCCGATCGTAGTTACAAAATTGCTTCGCCTGTATCAAACGCATCCCGGACCCGCGGCTTCTGCACGGAGGGTGGGAGCCACCTGTTCATCCCGCGTGTGGGGCGAGGTGGGCCGGCTCCGCGCCCCCCCCCCCCCCCACCCAGCGACACTTTCCCAAAATGGGCTTCCATGTTTCCTGGCCTTCCCCTCTAAGTGCCGAGGTCTGAAGCCGTCGGGAGAGGAGGCTGACAGCTTCCATCATATCAAGCCAGCCCGGAGGAAGGTTTGGGCGCAAAACCTCGTTCTACGGGTCTCCACGAAAGGGTCCCGGCATTCTTCAGTCGGGCGGGAGTGCGGGCGGTGACACAGGCCAGTCTTTCTGTGGCCCCTCCCCCTCCCCGATGCCGCCTCCAGCTTGCGCCCACCGGCTTAGCCAGGGTGTCACGCACTGGCCTGCCTGCCACCGTGGAAATCCAAGGCCTCTCCTTCCAGGGCTGGGGGGTTGCATCCAAAGGTAGGAATGCTCAGAAACGCCTCTTCAAGGAAGGACCTCGGCCCACATCACCTCTCGGGACGCCTATTTTGAGTCAAGCCAAGTCAGCGTCATATCTTGGTCTGGCTTACAACACACCCGTGACCTCAAGGAGACAAGGGCCCCCGTGGGACCGGGGTCTCTGGCACAGGACAGATGGGCTGCGGAGACGGACCCTGGCGCCTGTGACGCCACTCGCCATAGAGCACCGTGTCCCTCACTGTGTACTTCACGCTGGAGGCACAGCCGAACTTCGGAAAGGGTCTTGCCCCTGGACTGGAACCGAGAGTTTGGGGTTCTGCTCCCGGAACTGGCACAGGGTCGTCTTGCCTGCAGGGCTCGGGAGGCTCCAGGTCTCATACCCTCCGTGGGCCTTTCCTGGCCCGCCGCTCCTGTCCTCGGGCCCTCTGCACCCGTCGGCGGGCGCGGGAACGTGGCATCCTTCTCAGAGCTTTCTCGTGCCCCCCCGGCCCCAGCCTCGCTTCCTCCCGGAGGGTCTCCTGGTGCAGCACGCCCTACCTGGAGGAGCAGAGCCTACACCGCCCGTCCGATGACCAAGGGTGGATTCTTGAACAGCGGCCATGGCCTTCGCCCTGGGCTCAGGGGCTTGGCCGAAGATTTACCCCGTGTCAGATACTCTGCCTCCTGCTCCACCCCTGCAGATTGCAGGCCACAGCGGGGCACCCCACCGTGGTGGCTGGGG